AGGCCAAGCTCCTTGATAGTCTGAGCCATTGATCAAAATTTGAAATTAAATACGTATTTAGAAGGTATGCAAAAAAGGTATTAATTTTTTTTACAGAAATTATATTTATTGAAAACATATAAATAAAAGTACAAAATATGTGTATTGAATTTATATATTAAAAATTAAACACATTTATATTACTTCTCTTGATAATTCTTTAAAATTTGGTGAATAATTGGTGACAGCACTTCTCAGTAATACTTTGAGATGCTGGTTAGTTAATACTGATCGGTGTTTGGATTTCACGAATTTTAATAATAATAATAATCAAATTTATTGACCAAAAAAACTGATAGAAAGAAAATAAAAAGAAATTTACAATGAGTATCTTTGGCCAAAGGGAACCGAATCAGTTTCTCCAAATAAAAGATCAACTGTTCTGCCTTCGGTCCCGACAAAAAAATAAATAAAAAGTACACAATTCCCCTGGGCATGCACAATTAGCCCATAAATAAAAAGTAAGTGAAACTAGTAAATAAACAAGGTAAAAATTATATAAATATATAGAAAAGTACATAAACACAAACATATAAAATATATAAAAGAATAGCAGCTGCATAAAATCATCGACAATTGAGTATATAAACCAACAAATAACCAAGCAAACAAACTAACAAAGGGCAACAAATACAAAAATTAAATACAGATAAGAAAAGACTCACACATAACATATCTCACCTCCCTGCTCAGGACATCACGATGCCAGTACGAAACCCAGATTCCTTAACTCACACGAGAACCCGACCGTCCCACCGTTCATCACAATTTTTATTCCCTCCACTACAACGCGTTTGGACCTGACCTGACTAAAAGAAAAATAAATCTGAGTATCATCCGCGTAAAAATGCATTTTGCAGTGAAGGACCACCTTAGGCATCTATGAGACATATATATTATATAGCAAGGGACAAGAATTGAACCCTGGGGCACACCGATCTAACCCTCTGATTCCTGCCAATTAAGAATGAGGACATTAGAGCGTAAGCCGACTGACCAAGACCGACAAATCTCATAATTGCCAGAAGCAACTCGTGGTTTATGCTGTCAAATGCCTTGCTGTAATCTAGCGCTATCAACACAGTAACCATGCCCTTATCAGTTGCCCTCAATATGTCATCCACAATGTGAGCAATCGCGGTCGTACAACTATAGCCACGCCTAAAACCCGACTGATTCTCCGGAATGATACCGTGAGCATCCAGATGGCGACACAGCTGAGACGCCAAGATCTTCTCGAACACCTTTGACAAGGTTGGAAGGATACTAATAGGTCTCAAGTCACCAAAACAAGACGGTGGACTCTTCTTCGGGACGGGAACAACCAGAGCCAGCTTCCAGGCATCAGGAAAAACAGACACTTCGATGCAAGAGATGACGATATGGACTAAGTAATCTATGAGTGGGGATGAAACAACATTCAAAATTTTTATACTCATATTATCCAGCCCCACCACATTAGACTTCACAGAACTAATTGACTGTAAAACATCTTGTTCATTAACAAACACAAAATTAAATTCCGCATCGAAGTTGACCGCCCTTACTACTCTATAAAAGCTCAGAGTCATAGCATGAGGAGAAACTCTGGAAAAATAGGTTTCAAAATGCGAGCTAATATCGTCAGGACGGTCCATGTGACCAGGAATCCCTTCAGAATTCGACCTGCAAACATTAAGGTTTTTCGCCTCTCTCCACATCAAAGCCCTGCTGTCGCAATTTGCGCAGGTAAAAGCAAGGTAGGCCTGTCGCTCCGCTCTGACAGCTCTAGTTGTCATATTACGTATCTGTCTATAGAAGGCAACATCACTAACGGATCCAGACGACTTACACTTGGACAAGGCCCTGTCCCTAATTTTCATCATCTCTCTGATGTTGTGGGTTAACCAGGGTGCATGACCCTCAATTGCCCATACAGTCCTAAGGCGAACAAGTATGTCCACAACCTTCATCACATTCTCCTACTCTTACATTAACGTCACGGAAATAAAATATCTCGAACCAGTCCACAGCATATATGTATCTGCATCATCAATGAAATTAACATTAAAATTACCCACACAGATCAGGGAGTCAGTGGAAATCATAAGACTGGATAAGGTCTCCTCAAAATCCGTGATGAATTGTCGATAACTCGAGCGCGGTGGACTATAACATTTCCTCAAATAAAGGGCAACTCCACCTACACGACCGCTACGATCTTGTCTAATCAGATTATAATCAGAAATAGCAATTCCCTCGGATGAGACACTCTCATTCAGCCAGGTCTCCGACAAAGCCATCACATCATACCCCGAAGCACCCACACTCAGCCCGAAAGGATCAAAAATTTGAACACTGTGAGCGCACATTCAAGTGGCAGATACTAAACAATTTACTAGGCATGATAGATAACCGCGAACAGAAAACCGTTCACAAACAATAAGACTAAACAGAAGTCAACAAAAGTACCATTAATACCATACAAAAATATGCATACAAAAATATGCAGCAGCAATAAATAATCAAATTACAATTTAAAAAAGAAATATGCAGAAAAAACAAATAAATGAACAAATAGCAATAAAAAGTAGCAAACAAGTTAATGGCAGTAGCAAACAGCAGCGACAAACAAAAAATCACTAATTATCAATATAAAAGAATGACAAAATGTACCTAAACAATATAAAATAATCCGCAATATATAAAAATAACAGAAAACAATAACCCAATTATGCACCATGCCAAAAAATAATGCAGCAAGTGAAATTAAATTAATATAACAGACAAAATATAACTGACCAGCCGCAACACCCTCAGGCTAAAAATCGTCCTCCAAATCGCTGACAGAATCCACTCTTATATGTTTACCCTTCAATCTTGCCGCCACCTCACCATCCCACGTCCAAACATGTTCACTTCCGTATTTCTGCACCGCAAATTTAAACAACTCACGCCTTGTTTCCGTTAAGTCCTCGTGTACCATTATTCTGGTTCCTTTAAATTTCGTGCGATTTTTTAGGATCTCTATCTTTTGAGAATCCAATCACGGCCGGGCGATGTTTGTTGTTCACGGATTTACCGACTCGCCGACAACTTGTAATAGCGCCTGGCGGCAAGCAGATATTTAGGTTTTTTTTTATAGCGTTATTGAAAGTTTTTTCCGGTGTTTTTCCTTCTATCTCCGGCAGGTTATAAACGCAGAGCTTTTGCCTCCTTTTGCTCTGCTCCATGGTATCACTGATCTTCTTTAATTCCCCGCGGAGATACAGATTCTCAGTTTTGAGCAGCTCCATATCGCCAGCCATCCTCTCAACCTTCGCATAAGTACGTTGTTCCGAATATTGAAATAATTCGACAAGCAGCCTTTTTAATTCAGGATACTTTGATTCTAGTACAAATTTCGAAAATTCAGTAATCGACGTCGACTTATATTTTAATTGTAGAGCTTCATCTTCTTGCATCTCTAGTAATTCTAATTCTCCAGATGCTTTTTGGGTCATAATTATATTGGAAATGGAAAACTCACCTTGAATTATGTTAATTTCAAATGGATGCAGAAAAAAATCAAGAGACGATTTAAAATATTTCAAGTCTTGAAATCTATATTGGAATTCCGTCAATATTTGCGCAGTTTTCGATAAGTAAGGGAACATTTATCGAGAGCCACAAATAATCAATCCTTCAAAGAGCCGCAGGTTGTCCCCCCTGGCCTATACCATATAATGAATATTTTAAATTTTTGTAAAATGTAAAAAAATTAAGTATGTAAAAAAAATAAGTAATGTAAAACAAAATTAATATTACGTAAGTAACAATAAAAAACGGAAATGTTTATTCAGAATCTGAACTGTTTTCAGAATGAGAACTCATTGATGTCACATCGTTATCATCAGCATTTTCATTCACGCTTTCAGTCTCCCACAAAATGTCATCTTCCGTCCCATTTAAATCATTGGAAATGCAGCATTTCTTGAAACCTTTAACTATCGATTCAGATTCGATCTTCTGCCAGGCAGTCGCAATCCATTCTCCTTAGAGAGAGACTGAGGGTTTTTTATTTTTCCTGAAGGTGTCACTGGATGATTGCCCGACAATAGCCAATTGTAGTATTCTTTTCGAAGGTTGTCTTTAAATGGTTTATTAACCACCACATCCAAGATTTGCAACTGAGAAGTCATACCACCCGGTATTATTACAAGATCGGAATTCAATGCCTCAATTCTTTCCTTAACACCTGTCGTAAGGTGGCCTCGAAATGCATCAAGGACTAGCATAGAGCGGGAGTTTCTCATAGAACCTGGCCGTTTCTCCCAAATCACATTCAACCAGTCTAATACCAACTACTCTGTCATCCAACCTTTTTCTTGGACCCGAAAAGCAATGCCTCGACACAGCTTTTCTTTGGGCATTGTTTTACGTTTCAATATAACGTAAGGTCAAAGCTTTTGTCCGTCAGCAGTAACAGCAAGCATAACAGTAATTCTGGACTTTTCATAACCAGCTGACTTCAATAAGATCGTTTTTCTCCTTTCTTATTTACCGTAAGGTTAGAAGACATGTCGAAATAGACTGGTGTTTGGTCTGCATTTGCCACATTCCCAAGATTGTAGTTTTGCTTTTTGCGTAATGATATAACATGTCGCTGATAAGCCAACAATTTTTCATTAAAGTCGTCAGGAAGTTTTTGCGCGAGAGTTGTCCGCCGTCGTAGTGATAAACCGTTCTTTTTCATCATTCTTCTACACCAACCCATACTTGCCTTAAAGTCCTTTCTAGGAATGTTTAAATTAGCAGCCTCTTCTAACGCTTTAAATTTTATGATTTTCAAAGATTGAAATTTGAATTGATGTTTCGACACAAATCTATAATATTATTTATTTATAGTAACATATTAAAAAAACGTAAATATGCTTAATAGGGCAGAAAGACATATGGTCAATAGCCCATTGTAATATGTTTTTTTAGTATGTATTATAATTTGTTACAATAAATGTTATTATTATTAGTAAATATATCTTAAAAAAACAATACAAATGAAGTCTTTCAGGGTTTGGTTATTTCTCCACGAAGATTTGTCATCATCATCTGAAAGTATTACATATTGATAATTATATATGTATCCATGTGTATCGTTTACTTACAGTTTTCTTTTCGTCAAGAGAAAGATTTTTAAAGCCCAAAACATAAATCAATTTTGTTAAAGCTGCTTCAGTGGTAATGTCGAACCCTGGCAGAATACCAATATTCTTGCAAATCTATAACATCATTGATATAATATGTGAGTTACAGTTTTTAATTGTTTATTGTTGTTACCTTTCCTGTTTCGTATGTGGGATTTACAGTACCATGAGGACATTCGCTAACGTCATAAAATTTATTTATGGCCACCCTCCGTTTCGCTTTTCTAATTTTAACACTCGCTGCTCAACTTCATTAAACCTTCCGTTTTCGGTCCACTAAAAGATTTTCTTTAAGAATTTGCATTCTTATATTTCCTTAAATCTTTTCTCCATAGGCGAATGTTTACTTCTGGAACTCCATATTTCCTCGAAGCTCTCAAGTTGTTTGTTCTTTCTGCCTCGTTTGCAACCATAACTTTAAAATTCATATCCTAGGTTCTCCTGGTACCTTTATTTATTTGACTCTTTGATGAACTTTTTTTCTCCACACTACCTTTATTACTCTCACTCACTTTTCATGGGCAATAAAGAAAAACGTAAAGTAACCGTCGCTAGTCACGTGTTGTTTACAAATTAACTTGAAGCACAATTCACGATGTAGACGTTTTTCAATCTTTTTTATAGCCGCAGTCTTCACACCTTCCAGTACATTCCAGTACCACTCTTTCTTGTTGTAGTTCTCCGTCATTTTTTGGTTTAATAAGTGTTATTCGTGTTTTTATGTCTATTGGCAAAGAGACAATTGTTGAAGGTAGTCATTGCTCTTCTACCACCCAGAGCTTGCCAAGAAAGTTTCGTCAGTCTTTTCTTGCGCCTTTAAATCAGAAAAAATCAACTCTGCTTTTTCGCATATGACTTGTGTTACAGGAATATTTTTTTGACTGGTGTCATCAACCCACAATGCTAACATTTTTTCCATTTTCTCTATATTTTTGCTCCGGCTGTAAGTTACGTGCTTTACATTTACATTTGTGTGTTGAGAGGAATGTTTAATTTTTTCAGCGTTTTTCATGATTGTTGTTACAGTGGACGAGGGTAAATTTAGAGCTCTGCAGACAAAAGGTCGGGTTTGGCCGTATTCAATGCGTTTAATTACGTCCAGGCACATTGTTTTTCGTGCTGTTTTAGCACAATGTTTGGGTTCATTCAAATAATTATTTTTTGATGAGATATTCCACGACAACGTTTTCTTCATTTCATGTGCTATTTAAATCTATATCAATTGTTGGTGTATCAGTTTTCAAATAAAAAATATTTGTATATTATCTACCATTGTTATGCATATATCATTCAAATAATTATTTTTTGATGAGTGATTTGTAGTTCCTTGAATTAATAATACACCTAATCTTTGTGTAAAAGTGTAGCATGATGAATTTGTAATATCTGAATCCTAATTGACGTATTTGTCCAAATGTATTTTCTAAGTATTATCTTGATTTCAAGCAATTTGCATGAAATATTCAAATTTATGTTCCTTCAGTAGAATATTATGTAAATTTATGAACCCTTTTATTGTATGTATGCAATTACGAATAACAGGAGGTTGTTTGATGTAGTAATGTATTTCATATTTTCCAGAATTTTTATTGATTTGTACCAGAACTATAAATGGTTGGAATCTATAGTCACTCGCGTTCTTAATTCTGCAGAATTGCTAATGTCATGACCATTCATACTGTCGAATAAGTCATTCATGAATGAGCAGAATGATGCAGTTCCTAATGCTTCTTCATTATTAAAATAAGTATATATATAAGTATCATACTTTTGCTGAAAACCTGCGCTGCATGTGATACTTTCATTTTTCGTACTCTGTTCTCTATTACATGTTCTTCTGTTATCTTTGGAATAATTTTAAAATTATGTAAGCAATCTGTTAAATATGAGTTTTTATGTCATTCCAAGAAGCAATTTGTTTTTTTGTCATTTGTAATGGCATAACTTTTTATTCAATAAATTATTTCTGAAGCATTTTATGATGGGCATATATCTTACAATGGTACTATATTTATTATTACCAATGCAAATAATATTTGGTTCATGCCTCTTATTTAATTTAAATTTCATCATTTGAAGTAAAAGACAAAATAATTAATCATGATAGTTTCTAATATTCCATTGCAACATAATTACCTGAACATATTTCCTCTGCTTTGGAAACTGACGCTGGATATTTCTTCTTATACCTTTGTACCAAATTTACATGTTTACACATATTCCACTTTATGCTGTAATCAATGCACGTACAGGAATATGCATGCATGCACATTTTACATTTGCTGCAGTAGATTTTGCAACAGCATTTCGTGTTATTGAGCATGACTTGTTATTTTCTTGAACGGTAAATACCTGGTTCGATTTAGTATAGACCTCGTATACACCTTTGTCCGCAATCAATACTGTTCTAAGGTCCAGGTTTTCACTGTCCTTGTGCCTGTGTCTTAAATTAGTTATTTTGGATGTAATCTTCCCCTTATTTGCCATAATTATATTGTCAAACGACTTTTTATTGACATATTTTATTATGGCATGTAAACATATGTCCAGAATTGTTGTATATTTTACGTTTAAATATACATATTTAATTGTTTTGTGCATTGCTTCAAGATGCATATTGGTATTCAGGCCTGCATTAAGTCGATAACAATATGCCCAAGACTCAGCCTTTTTCATATAATATATTTGGAAATATTGAGCATTTTTTTTTGTATCTTTATGTGCTTGAATGCTTCGACATCTATCTCTTGTAGAACAAGTTTTAAATTCTTCTGTTCACTGTCCTAAATATTGAAATTAATAAATATTAAAATGTTTTCAAACTTTTCCAGTCTATAATACCTGTTTTTCTTGAGATTTATAATAATTATAGGCTTCTCTGTAAATTTAGCCAACTAAATGTTCATTTATATTATTACAAGTTCGGTACCACATATATTAGTTAATAATTTTATATTTATAAAAATAGAAATAATAATTTTATGTATATTTTGTATTGTATAATACTACCATTTATAAATCACTCAGATTTTGAAATATTGCTGTATTAATCTCTCAATTACAACCAATTCATTTATATCATCACCGTGATTTAAATGTACAATATTTACAATTACAATAAATATACACAAATACAATTTACATCATATGTAGAAATAAAATAACGAAACTACAATTATTAACAAATATTAAGTAATGTAACAAATTATTATGTTGATACGATTCCCAAGATTTCTAGTTTCTGAAAATTGATAAATATTAGTATCTATTATTAAATATTTTTTAAATACTTATCTTTTCTCTATATATTTTAAGCCCTTCCAACAGTCCACTACTCAATAAATCTAAAAATAATTGTTTGGGCGTCAATGAAAATGGTGGCAACACCGTGCGCCGGAAAAAAGTAACGCTTGGCTTGAAAGAAGAATTCCTTATTTCCTGATTATCTAATATTTAGATATTTCATACGTCTCTACTAATTAATTTCTCCATTTTGCAGAAGAAATAACATAATGAATCAAATAAGGTTTTCGCAACAAGTACTTGAGTAGTTGGTATCGAACCTACTCAATCCAGCTCGTAAAAGTACCAACAAAGTCAGGAACGAAAAAGGCTATTTTGTTGGCGTAGGGCCTACTCAATTCAACCCCCGTAATAGTCAACGGAAAACGGAAAGTGATCTGAAGTATATTGGAGAGGTGCAGTATTTTTAGTACAATGTCGTATTTTCCAACCGTCTTTGATCTGAAATTTGAAAGAAATATATAATAAACAGAATAACATTAATACTTATGTTGAATCTTACTTCTATTATGTTTTATAGAATATTTTAATGCCTCTAATTTCATGTCGTCGTTTGCAGTCGTTAATTGGCCTTTTAAAATGATATTCATTTCTTTTATGTATTCTAAAAATAATGTCTTTATAATACTATCTATAATACATATTTCAGTTGAATGTGAATGTTCACATTCACGGTAATTAAAATTAATATTAGCTATAATAATATGTCTATATATTGCATACATACAATTTTTGTTAAATACTTGTGGTAAAATAGTGCGAGCCAAATTTATTAACTTTTTTAGTGCGTTAATAAATTTACTTGAAAAATAATTTAACATATCATCACTATTATTTATATCATGGTTCCAAACATCTTCAATACGTATAAATTCACTTTTAAAGACATTCTCCTTGCAAATGCTACACTCCATGACTTTAGCAGAATAAATATTTGTTGATGTTTTCTTCATTTCTTGAGCTATTTTTATATATATATATCAATTGTTGGTGTGTAGCTTTTCAGATTTTCTGATAAAAATATATGGATATTATCTACCATTGTTATACATAAATCATTCAAACAATTATTTTTTGATGAATAATTTGTAGTTCCTTGTATTAATACACTTAATCTTTGTGTAAAAGTGTAGCATGATGGATTTGTATATCTGAAACCTAATTGCCGTATTTGTCCAAATGTATTTTCTAAAGGGATCTTGATTTAATGCAATTGGCATGAAATATTCAAATTTATGTTCCTTCAGTAGAATATTATGTAAATTTATGAACCCTTTTATTGTATGTATGCAATTACGAATAACAGGAGGTTGTTCTGATGTAGTAATGTATTTCATATTTTCCAGAATTTTTATTGATTTGTACCAGAACTATAAATGGTTGGAATCTATAGTCACTCTCGTTCTTAATTCTGCAGAATTGCTAATGTCATGACCATTTATACTGTCGAATTATTAAAAAAAGTATATATATATAAGTATCATACTTTTGCTGAAAACCTGCGCTGCATGTGATACTTTCATTTTTCGTACTCTGTTCTCTATTACATGTTCTTCTGTTATCTTTGGAATAATTTTAAAATTATGTAAGCAATCTGTTAAATATGAGTTTTTATGTCATTCCAAGAAGCAATTTGTTTTTTGGTATTTGTAATGGCATAACTTTTTATTCAATAAATTATTTCTGAAGCATTTTATGATGTGGCATATATCTTACAATGGTACTATATTATTATTACCAATGCAAATAATATTTGGTTCATGCCTCTTATTTAATTTAATTTAATGTTATTTAGTCTTGTCTCCTCAATAAGCATATTTATTGTTTTGACGTTTGTAGGTGCTTGATCGCAAATAAGTGCCGCTACATTGAATCCTATTTTCGTTAATTCAGAAACTATTTCATTAACAAAATATTTTATAGAATATGCATCTGTTGGACCATTATGCAACAAAAAGGTACTTTCCAATTTGAATACAGAGATCTTAACATATATACTTGTACATGATCGGAAATATTATTTGTTCTTCTATGTCCATCATCCTCAAATCCAAAAACTATTTGCATGGAATTATCGAAATCAAAATGTGGATTCAAACTCATTTCGTCAAAAATTAAGCTACATGTTTTTTCTTTATTATCCTCAATTTTCAGAACATGTGCATTTAATGTCTTAAATATAGATGCATTGATACCTGGTTAAATTCTAATTGCAAATAATATGTTTTGTAGAGTTGTATACTAGGTAATGCAAATATATTTGACAAATGATTATAGAAACAACGGCTTCTTTTAAAAATACTTAATGCAAATAATTTATCTTCTAATGTGTATGTGCATGTTATTTAATTTTGTAAAATTTTCTAATTTTCAATATTCAGCACA